TATAAAAAGAGAGAGAGAGAGAGAGAGAGAGAGAGAGAGAGAGAGAGAGAGATGGTAGGACCCGGAAGAGGAAGCTAGAAGGTGCCAGCCAGCAAGTAAATTGCCGCAATGCCATTCTATTTCCCTATTTATCTTATTTGCATGTTGTTATTATGCGAATGCTATTGTAAATAAGAAGAAGAGCAAGGAGATGTAATATAAAATACATGCAGACATTAATTACCAACACAACCCATTAGATATTTATTTAAAATTAGTATTCTCTCTCTCTCTCTCTCTCTCTCTCTCTCTCTCTCTCTCATGCTAGTCAATTTGAGGAGAAGTTCGAGGAGATTAATGGTGTTGAAGTACCTACAGACATCCCCTCAAGTTCAGGGGTTAATGAAAAGCTCTCTCAAACTTCAAGGATATATAGATAGAAAAAAAAAAACTCAAATTTGAAGGACAACCTGCATATAGAAGTAGAGAGGGCATCTGGTGAGGTAGAACATATGCACAGGCGATTAACATGGTGTGAAACGACCTGACCCAATTTCCACTTCGGAATCCGGGTCGAAACCTGTTTAAAACTGACACCTGGTAAACGTGGATCGTAAATGACTAAAATATCCTGAAAACAGTAACACAACTGAGGGACTTTGATTCGTGGCTGTACCTGATAACTGTAGGCTGCCTACGTACCCTTTCTGAGGGATCAAGCCACACGTAGTTCTTTCCTCTGTTCCTCTTCCCCCTCCTTTTCTCTCTCCTCTTTCCCGCAAGTTCCTCACCTTTTCATGAAGGTGAAAGTGACAAAATTAACCCAATTGAAAGAATAGGAACTAAAATGATAAAAGTAACAAATTGGGGACCAAAAATATCTTTTTGCTTTTCATGAATTCAAATGTTCATAAAAAAAAAAAAGAAAAAAAAAAAGAGAAAGTTTTTACATTTGCATCGGAGATTCAGCGACACTTCCTCACCATATATTTTTTCGTGTTAGCAAACATCCGATTATTACATCAATAAATCAAGTTGATAAACGCTTTATCTAATTTCAGCTCAAAAGTAATTGAGAAAAGGAAGAAAGTCAGGAAAATAAAACCAAGCCCAAAATTGATTGACAGCTAGTGTCCGGGAATTTGTAGGACTGGAAAACCATGTGTGGTGGAAAACGCGTCAATAATTGAGGACTGGAAGTTTCAGCGATACTTCCTCACCATTTCATAAATTCACATTTTGCTCACCCACACCCAAACTCTCCAAGTAAGGCTCATCTTTTTTGTGAAGAGAGAAGCAAACACTGAAACAATTAATTTGGCTTCCATGGCCAACCAACGAGCCTCTTCTTCCTCTGCTTCTTTCCCAAAGTCACGGGAAGACCAAGTATTTCTGAGCTTCAGAGGCGAAGACACGCGCCACAACTTCACAGACCATTTGTATAGCGCTTTATGTCAACGAGGGATTAACACCTTCAGGGATGATGATGACCTCGGAAGAGGAGAAGAAATATCACGCACGCTTCTCACAGCAATTGAAGAATCAAAGATTTCTGTCATTGTGTTCTCCAAAAACTAGGAAGATTTTGGAAAAACCCAAAGGAGAGAGAAATTTTGTAAAAGAACCCAAAATGGACAAATTTGCCCTTATTTATTTTTGGATTTCCTAAGAAATCATTTACACTTGCATGTCTTTGATTTGAAAGTTGAGAGGTTTTTCTGTATTTTTTTAAAAAGCTTTGGCTTTTTCCAAAAGTGAAAATTTTTTTATGGCTAAAACCTAAATTTACTTAAAATATTCTAGGAGTATTTTTGTCTTTTTTCTCAAATAAATTAATAATTAAATATTAATTTTGGGTTTGGGTTGTTACATGGTGGATTTTTAATATTATTTGAATATAAAATGAAAAATTGATTAGAAATGTCTTGTGTTTCACCCAAACATAGACATTGTGATTTTATTTTATTTTATAAATTGTTTTTCATTGATTTTTGTTTACTGATAAGAGTAGTTTAGAGCATATTCCTTACTATTAGGCCATTACCCGTGTCTCTATTGTCCCCCTTTGAGTTTTTACTTTTTCAAAGTTATTACTTGTATAAAGAATTTAGCATTTTCAAATTTAAAAGTCGTATTGTACATGTACATATGTATTTTTCATGTTTAATACACTTATTTTTACAAAAAAATTTAATAATACACACAAAATTCACGTATTATCCCTCAAAATATTGGTAATTTAATAAACCTACACACTTTGTACTTGCATTCCAATCAACTTTCTAGTTTGATTCCCAAGGAGATAGGGAACTTGAAATCTCTTGTATATCTAGTGTTGTCCAAGAACAATTTAAGTGGTGTCATCCCTCCAAATATTGGTAACTTAATAAAGCTAAACACTTTGTACTTGAATACCAATAAACTTTTTGGTTTGATTCCCAAGGGGTTAGGGAACTTGAAATCTCTTGTAAATCTATCGTTGCCCTACAACAATTTAAGTGGTCACATCCCTTCAAATATTGGTAACTTAATAAAGCTAAACACTTTGTACTTGAATAACAATCAACTTTCTAGTTTGATTCCAAATGGGATAAGGAATTTGAAATCATTTGTAAATATATTGTTGTCCTACAACAATTTAAGTGGTCTCATCCCTCCAAATATTGGTAACTTAATAAACCTGAACACTTTGTACTTGCCTTTCAATCAACTTTCCGGTTTGATTCCCAAATAGATAGGGAACTTGAAATCTCTTGTAGATCTAGAATTGTCTTACAACAATTTAAGTGGTCTCATCCCTCCAAATATTGGTAACTTAATAAAGCTAAACATTTTGTACTTCGATAAAAATCAACTTTCTAGTTTGATTCCTAAGAAGATAGGGAACTTGAAATCTCTTGTAGATCTAGAGTTTGGCTACAACAATTTAAGTGGTCTCATCCCTCCAAATTTTGGTAACTTAATAAACGTAAACACTTTGTCACAGGACCCGACCAAATTCCACTTTGGAATCTGAGCCAAACGCTGTTCGTGATCGACACCTAGCGGGTGCCGAGCACAATTGACTTGGTTGCCCCCTTTTTTTTTTTTTGTTAAAAACTTAATTTCCCTTAAATCCTGACTTCTACTGAAAATTCGGCAGAGTCTTCCCTGTAAATCGAGCATTCCCAAAATTTACACCTGCCAAGAAGCACTTAAATATATACACCAACTGCCAATATACA